CACTCACGGCAAGGGAAGGTTTGGTGAGGTTGTTTACATACGCTCTGTAGCCTACGTGCTCTATGTCCTCTCTCCCTCACTTCCACGCTTTCTCTCTCGCACGCGTTATCGGCACGCACATTCCTTTTCCCTAATCCTAAATCACACTTGAATTCTTCGACACGACCAGTGATGCCAATTCGAGCTCGCTGGTACCATGGGTACCGTAGTGGAGGGGATACCCACACAAGCGAAATCGCTGACGTCACATGTACGTGTGTGCTCGCCGAGCCACCGCGGTTTTTTCGTTCCGCACCGAGCGTTTTTCGTTCCGCATTGCGTTTTTCGTTCCGCATTACGTTTTTTGTTCCCTATGTCACGTCCCGTTCCGTACGGCACGTTTCTCGTTTTGTACGTCACGTCCCGTTTCGTACGTCACATCCCGTTTCGTACGTCACGTCCCGTTTCGTATGTACGTCTCGTCCCGTTCCGTACAGCACGTCCCATACCGTTCCGCACGTCCCGTTCCGTACGTCACGTTTCGTTCCGTACGGCACGTCCCGTACCGTACGTCCGTTCCATTCCGCACGTCCGTTTCGTTCCATCCGTCAACAATAAAGAAGCTGAAAATCGCCTATTGTTTAATAATAATTAATTGCAAATTGAGACCCTCCGGTAACCACGTTTTTTTAATTTTGCCGACAAAAAGTATCGAAGGAACTTGAAATTTGAAACAACTTCCAGTGAGACATTTGTTCCTCAATATTGAAGGAAGATTTTTGGAAATTTTTAAATCTATTCATTGTAACACACAGGGAATCTTCTTTTTCAGAGAAATTTTGAAGAAGTGAGTTTATTCGCGGAGCACTTATTTTCGGATTTTCTTTAACTTTCCTAACTACAAACGCACTTCTGAAAAATTTAATAATTTCTTTTTACCACGGCCTGTTTTATTTTCTATTTGTCTTTCTTCGTATCGTTTAATAACGTATCGCACCCAGTAGCGCGTTTACCTATGGGTTTTTGGGGCCAGAGCCCCTGGGCGCCGAAGCGTCAGGGGCGCCGCAGCTTCTATATATTCATAAAAAAATGTTCCATTTTTAATTATCTTCTTAAGTGTGTTTTGGTAGAATTATATTAATATTTAAAATGTTAATTATTTACTGTTTGTTCATTGGGGGAGGGAGGCTAGATCGAGGCGCTCAAAGATCACAAGCCCCTGGGCACAAATTTTACAAATGCGGCCCTAATCGCACCGTCGAATAACTTTTGCAAACAATACTTCCAATTTCTCTTAAAGATTTACCATTTTTCCAATAAAAAATAATTAATTTTCTAACTTCTAGATTTGTTTCTTTGCTTTTTCTGCCCATGATAATGAATTATTGAAACGAGAAGTTATAAATGGAAATCGATGCTTACTGAATGCTTTTTTATGTTATACTGATTACTTTAAGCAACAATCAGAAACAAATACCCATCGAAGTTTGTAGACTGGATTTGTTTTAGTTGGTTCGTAGCGTGAGCGAATAATTTTGTGACGTGAAAACGTGTAAAGAATTGTTATGACTTGTTTTCTGTAATTATAAACCACAATGTTTCAAATTTTTTAACGATTCTGTTATATTGAACTGTAAATTATGTATTTCCAAATTAAAAAATTTTAAAAAGTCCTTTGTTGTCTCATTATTTCATTCATTTTTGTTGCATATTTTTATTTACCAATCTTTTATAAATAAGATATTCTTAAAATAATTTTTGACAATATCTGATTTATAAAGAATTGGTAAATACACAATTTTTTAAAAAAGCAATTTTTAGGGTAGTCATATTTTAAAAAATAAACAAGTATTCGATCCGACCAATATAGTTTCAAGTTTTATGACACGGTTCTTTTCAATTGATATACAATATTTGTTTTAGAAGAAATTAAAGTCTTCCAGAACAAGCATACAAAATTGTGTGTATGTGTAGTGTTAAGAATATAGAATTAAATTTTAAAACTTAATTGTGAAATGAAACTTTGTGCGGTGCACAATTTGCACACTTGCTTGCGACGATTTATGACTATAGTCCTCTCAAATTATAGACAAAAGATTGTTTTTACTGTCTAGCTTGCATTCGTGTTTAATATACGAGTTGTTTTTGCATCTATTATAGTTTACGTGTAAACGCCCAACCCTGGCTTTTAATATTTAAATAAGTTATTGGTCATTACTGTATGAAATATCTATAAGAGTTTATCATCTTTTTAAATATTAACAAAAATGCAATATTTTATTTACTCACACGCACGCACACACACACAAAATTATAAAAGTAATTTATTAAAATAATTTAAATGTACATTTTCAATTTACACAGATTATTGAAAATAACTGATCTTTTGCTAAATAAACTGTAAATGCAAAAGTAAATACTACAATACATGTATTTACAATACGTATGTATTATTTCAAATCTGATTGATATACATAATCATGTTTCACAAGTATGCATTATCGACACTTTGTAGATATAGCACATATTGGAACCAAAAAGTCGTGGACGTAGCACGGAAAAGACCCAAAAGATCGTGGACATTACCTACGGGATTCTTGGACATTGGCTACGTAGTTCAATGTGCATGTTTTGTGCATATAGAGGCGCTAGCCCACAGAACACGTAAAATGCGGACATGTCCACTCTCAAGGCCGGAGCACAGACTTTTACATAAAGCATAACGCATAAGCATAAGGAAATTGATTGGTCTATATATAAGCATAAGCAAATGCATAAGGAAACGGACCAATCAATTTCCTTATGCTTATGCGTTATGCTTTATGCAAAAGTCTGTGCTCCCGCCTTCAGTCTTCTCTCTGCTTAAAATATTTTCAGGTTGAGTATTCTTCAAGAGATATATGTTCCTAACATTATGCCGGCTTATTCACAAGCTGTCATTTACAATACATTTTGCGTAAAAAGAACTTTTTGTTACACGTAATTTTTTAAAAAATAATTTAAAATGTATGTTAACACTATATATTATTAAATAATTAGATTTAAATAACATAATTATTTACTTGATATCAAAAATTATACACATTAACTGAATAAAAATGTTGCTTATATCTTTTCACGTATCGAATTACGTCTAGTAATTGATCTTTGCAGAGCAAAATTCCATTTCATTTTCAAGACGAAGAGTATAGGGAAATGTAACTGAGCACAGGCTTACACATATAGGATTATGTAGAATGGAATTTCGAACGGCATGCGCGGCGTGGCACGCACAGATCAGGCGTGCGAATAAACAATCATCTGGTGTCGTGGTGGGTTTTTGGTCATTTTTGGTGCCGGTCAAAGTATTACTTTCTTGGCTACTAGAGTCGGACGAAGGAAGATGGAAACGCAAACGAAAGCGATCGCGGAACTTCGTCGAAAATTCTTCGATAAATTCAACGATGATAGCTCAAGTGTGTAGTGTATACGTAATCTTGTTTTTCGTCTCAGAAATGATTTCTGTCGTTATAATCGATATTGACTGTCATATACATGTCGTAGCAATGCTCATGTAATATGTGCAAAGGTCGTATCAGTCGATCGCGTAGTCAATTAAAAATAATTGATGCTGTAAATTGTTTTAACAATACAGTCTGTGTAGATAATCGAAAGTGTAGACTACTTTCATCATTATTGGATTATTTTTAAAAAATCATAAAATGCAAAAGTCGAAGTTGTTTATTCCTGTATACTCTATGACGTGTCATTTTATGTGCAAATATTTTTTGCAGATTTTCATCCTGCAGATATAGACAGGGTAAAGCTCAGCGATAGCTGGCTAAGACGATTTTTGGAGCATCATGAATTCAATGAGCAGGAAGCCTTCAACATGCTTTGGGAAACTTGTACTTGGAGAAGTAACTTTGGAACAAATGGTAAAATTATATTCATTTTTGCATTTGATTTTCAATTGGTATTATTATGGATACTTTGATACAAACAAGATAAAAATTATTTGCTTATAAATCTAGATTTTAATGTGCTACTTTATGTTGATAGAATAATATAAAGCAAAATATTTTTCTGTTTTTTATCTAACATTATTAAACTACAGATATCAGTGAAGATAATGTGAATATGGAGTATTTGAAAGAAGGGATATGTTTTAGCCATGGTAAAGATAAAGATGGCAAAGCTCTTTTTATAATTAAGTCAAAGTTGCATTATAAAGGAGTAAAAGACTTCCCCGAGCTTCAGAGATGTATAGTCTATTGGTTTGAGAGATTAGAAAGGTATAATACACATCTCAATTTTATATATAATGTTTGATCAAAAAATCGATTCATTTAAAAGCAAGCATTCCTATTGATTGAAATTTTGTATGTGCTATTACTAATGAGGAGATAAAGAAATGATAAAAATATTATAGTACAAGAACTATTTAATTAAGAAAATCTGTGTTGCAGATGAATATTTTGTAAAACCAAATGTCATGGGCATAAAATTATTTTATTAAATATGTTGATTTTTTTATCAAATGGCATATAAAAATAACAAATATAAATATGATCAATATACGTGATCTACACATGTTCATATTCTGTTCAGTTTTTGATGCATTTTTGTTGCATTTTCAGAGAAGGAAATGGAAATCAGATATCACTTTTCTTTGATATGGGAGAGAGCGGATTATCTAACTTGGATATGGACTTAATTAAATATCTTATTGGTTTATTCAAGACTTATTATCCAAATTTTTTGAATTATATCATAATTTTTGAAATGCCTTGGGTTTTAAATGCAGCGTTTAAGATAATAAAGTCGTGGTTACCTGCTAAGGCTATTCCAAAAATTAAAAATCTTAACAAATCATCATTGAAAGATTATGTTGATCCAAATGATGCACTTATATGTTGGGGAGGTAATAACGATTATACTTTCCAATTTGTCTCAGCTGTACAAACAAATGGAGATAATGCATTCAATGACAAACTGGATAATAAAAAGGTATATATATATATATATATGTATATGTATGTATGTATGTATATGTAATATGTCACTTTATTCATAACAGTTTTATACTTTGAAACATAGTACTCATAAAAAAGATCTGAGTAATATGGAATGCATATAAGATGCATAGCAAGTTAATATTCAAGGAGTTGTCATTTTTTAAAGCATGCTATGTTTTTCAGGTTCATTTTGCAGAAAATTCACCGCTTACGGAACAAAGTCCAACTAGTATTGGTGATCAAATTAACGAAGAACAATGTGCGTATAAGAATTTTATTATATAACCAGAAATTTATATTCCACAAAATACATATGTTAACAGCATTATATAAACTGTTTGTTTCAGTGTTATCCATAGAACCAGGAGAAGCAATTACATTTAATAAAGATGGGAATGATGTCAATGGAATAATTACACTTAAAAATATTACAAATGATAAATCTTTATCTTATAAGGTATGTACAGGTATTTTAAATTATTTTACTATTGTAACAAAAAAATAATTAAAAACTAGATTTATTAGAATAAATATGGATATATTTACATATATAGTACAATGATTTGTAGATAAAAACAACGTCTCCTGATAAGTTTAGAGTACGACCAAGTTCAGGAGTGTTGCAACCATCTGAACAAAGGACAGTTACAGTTATATTGCAAGCTGGTCATAATATACGTGGTCTATTGCATAATGATAGATTTTTAGTAATGTGCCTTCCTTTAAAAAATGGGAATGCTACAGCTCAAGAATTGACAGCTCTCTGGAAGGTAATTCTATATTAATTAATGCAATATTTATTTTTATATAATCAGAAATATCAATCTTTAAAATTTCTAAAATTTTATAGATCAAATAATGTTACATATAAATATGTACAAGGATAACGATTAAAATTATATTCTCTTTCTTTATAGTCTGAAAAACCAACAGAGATGCATAGATTGCGGTGCTGTAATGGTAACAATGAAAATAATGAGTTACAAAAATCTCATTCTATATTAACTTCTACAATGGCAGGAAATGATCGCAATATTGATGTATTTTTCTCTAAGGTATGTAAATACAACAAACAGCATTTATTCACAGATGCAATTTTACTACTGATATATCATGATAATTGCAGATAAGCCGTTTAGAAGAAAATTATAGCAAATTACGTAATGAAGTTACTACTATCAAGTATATGCATTTTATTTCCATACTATTGATAATTGTAATTGTAGTATTGTTGATTTATGATTATGCTTTGAAAATAGATATTCAAAATTCAATGGATCAACAGGACTGCCATATTCATGATCTTTAAAATATACATGTTTGTAATAACAACTTTGATATATAAAAATGTTAAAAATGTTTCTATCTAAATTTTAAATCTACTGTAGGTGTTGTAAGGAGAATTATTTACATTATATACAGGTAATAGAGCTTTTATTTTTTTCTTCTATAAAAATCCTATAGATGTTTGTATTTCTACAATTAATTTTTCGTATGTTTTGTTAATACTGAATATATTATTATTACAATATATATAAGTTACCATAGTGTTATGTGCAACATGTAAAGAGGTATATTGTATCTATTGAATTTACTAAACTGTAAGATACTACAGTGAAACTATTTTTGTAAGCTTTTATACATAGTGAACTATCCCAATTGCATTAAATTTGAATGTGGATTAGTGTATATGTGTTTAACACTGTTGTATCTAATCATTAGCCTTGTTTATTATATTCTATAATTGATTATTGACAGTTTTTTTTTAAATACATAATATATGTACTTGCAAAAGTTTATTGATTATTTACCTATAAATTCTATTTTTTACATAAATATTTAAATAACAATGTGTATATATGTATATACATATGTAATAACATGTATATAATACATAAATTTATACCAATATTGTGTGTATGGTGTATATCGAGTAATAGCTGATCATTTTCCATTATATACTTATTCCAGAAAAAGCAAAAAGTTGATTGGTTACCATGTTTTACATGTAAGATCATAAGCAAGCAAGATTCATGATCAATAAAAGTCTATCCAAACGGACTTGCATAGTCATATAAACCGATTTACAGAAAAATCGACCAATCACACGTTAAATATAAGAAATCCAACAATATGGCGTCCTTCACGTTCGACATATAATTACTCGATTTTTTTTATGCTTGATACGTTTATACAGTTATATATCGGTTGTTATATAAATACCTTCGAAAATATTTTAAACAATAAAAGCAGCTAAATTCGAGACGTTTAGTCACACAGATTCAACGACACTCGGACGTACTGCGAACGGTAATTCCAGGCAGCATAAATACGCGTGGGTAAACGCGCAGTACATGCCAATGCGCAGCTGCCAATGCGCAGCACAGAACAGTATTTGAACCTTTATAGTTCTACCGGCCATATTGGCTCTTACACAACGCCCTCACGCGACGACCGTGGGTTTATGCGAGTAAGCGAATATTTAGAGGGTTTGTGACGACTCATCGACACGCATCACGCACTTTCCTGTTCTGCAGTGACAAACGGTAAGTGCTTCCGATATTTGAACGACCGGAAAGGCCCGGGGACGCCTTGGCGATCGGTCGCCTCCCAGCGGCACGCGACACGGCACAGCGACATCGCCGTCGCTTCGTGTCCTCCATATTGATGACAGCGCCGACGGTGATAATTTTCTGAAATTTTTGTCGTTAATGCCCCCTGTGTCCTGAGATCGAAAGCACCCGCGTTGTCTTATAAGCTCCCCGACAGAATGCGCGACCTCGTGGGCCCCCGCCGAGTGCTGCGAGAGTCCGCGATTAAGGTGCCCCCCAGGTACCGCCCCGTGTATCCACGCGCTCACACGGCTTGCTCATCTTGTCTCGCCAGGCATCGCCCATCGTGGCTCGATCGCGCCTCATGGCGTCGTTCGTCATCGTCCAGCGCTGTTGGCTGCCTCGCGCGTCACACGGCGCACGCGACGCCGTCGTGGCGTATATATCACCCCTTTTCGTCGCGCGCTTCCTGATTGCCGCGCGCACTGAGAAGCGCTGAGAATCCGGCGCGTCGCCGTCGCGGCGACGTGAATAATCCGGATGCTCGCTGCTCGCTTGCCCTCGCCGTGCAATTTCTTTCCTGTCATATAATTGTCGCTTTATTGATTTTCTTTTTCTTTAATTTCGGCGCATCGCGCCCTACGCGACAATGCGCACTGTCGAAATCATAATTCGCCCGTATCGTGCGACAATAACATGCATGAGGAACGCATCAGGGGAAACAACGTCGTCTCGCGTGTCGATCTGTAAAGATATTTTCAGTTTTAATGACGATCGGAACGATTTGTCTTGTAGGAACGCTTGCATTTCCGTGATGTAGGCTTGGCACTTTAGTTATTTTTCACAATCACTGGATAACGAAGGGTAGAAGGTTTAAAGCAAGATTATCTTATAAATGGATATAGTACCTGTATGAAGATAAAATTGTGAGAGAACTGTGCATTACGCTGTATATATATGTAGTGCATATTTAACATTGCCAATTTTCTATTTATTTGTAGAATTGTTGATTGCAAAATTTATACATGAATTATAATAATAATTGCAATTGAAGCATATTTTTTAGTTGTTATCTGGACATATATTAATAATATATATGTATTAAAATATCTGTTTCAGATTAATGAATATAAACACTGTCGTATAAGATATTTCGATCATGACGAGTAATATAGCAACTATAAAATTGGAGGAGGGACAAGAATCTGTCACAGAAATACAAACTTATTTGGAGACATTTAATAAGGAGATAGAAGGAGGACAAGGAGAACAGCTCCAACATGTGCAATGTTAGTATTTTATAGTAGTTTTTCCGAGCGGATATACTGAGCAATGTTATATCTACATACTTTATTATAGTGCAACAAGTGGAGGGATTATCCGGTGGAGAAGAAGGTGGGACATATTTTGTTGATCAATCTGGTCAGTATTATTACCAAGCAAGTAGCGACGAACCACCTGTGATGACACAGGTGCAAATACAAGAAATAGAGGAAAGTGATGTACAAAATGAGGGAGAGGTGACTCAAGATGAACAGTATCATGAGATTGAGGAGCTTGAAAATGCCGAAGGTGACGAAGATGTAAGTAATGCCAGTCTTTATTTAAAAATGTAAAAATGCATTTTTATAAAAAAATGAGGACAAATTCCAGGGTCAAGGGGCCAACAATGAGAACAATCAAGTTGTGATTAATTCCGGTGATGCATATCAAACTGTTACTATTGTACCATCCGATACAAATCCTGGAGAAGTTAGTTATGTTCTGATAGTTCAGCAGCCTGAATCAGAAGAAAAAGAGAGCAGGCCTGCAGAAGGTGAAGTGACAGCGGCAGCAACAGAAGCAACAACAGCAACAGCAGATGGAGAGGAGGCAGAAGGTGAACAAGATCTGACTGTGTATGACTTTGAAGATAATGAAGACAACGAAGCTCCAGCCGAATCTGAGGCAGAGGATGATAAGGCTAAAGTCATTAAGTTTCTTCCAAAGAAATCTCAAACTGTGACACAGGCCCATATGTGTAACTACTGCAACTACACTAGCCCAAAGCGGTACTCTATTTTAATCTCTAATTTAATCATTTATATATTTATAATATTACATTGTTTAATTTATGTTTTATATCTTTGTATCATATCTCTTTTTCCATCTCATTATTCGACTTATTAACACAAGAAACTACGTCTAATCTTATCTCTTTTCAATTTTACTTTTACACCTCAAAATCAGTTTTTAGAAAAATGATACGTGACATTAAAAAATATGACTTAAAAAAATAATTTACTTATATAACAGGTATCTTTTATCACGGCATATGAAGTCTCACTCGGAAGAAAGACCACATAAATGTAGTGTTTGTGAGAGGGGATTTAAAACTCTGGCTTCTCTTCAGAATCATGTCAACACACATACTGGGACCAAGCCTCATCATTGTAAATTTTGTGACAGTGCATTTACAACATCTGGTATGTTATTATTTATCAATAGCTCTTTCTCTTTGTGCACCATGTTATATTGCATGTTATGTAAAATATTTCCCCTAAATGCTTTCAAGATCTAAAAATAAATCGAGTAAGAACATTTTTATTATTTTATTTTTTTTTTTGTTATTTATGTCACGTTTTTGTATCTGCCTTGTGTATTTGTGTATCTGCATGGTGGTATGTACCGACATGTTGATATTAAGTTTCTTATCAATTTTGGTTTTGTTATATTATACTTTAACCATAATAAACTTTTTTTTACGATATTACAATTATATATTTGATAATTACAATGCATACAATTACATTGCATTTGATAAATAGCTTTTGCTTGAATAATTTATTTTATGCTGTCATTTTTTGTCTAAATTTATATTTTTTAATATATAAAATTGCAAAATAAAGTAATTTCCTACATGTATCTTACCAATTATCAGTTATTAATTTAAATATTTCTTTACAAGAAAAATGTATTTTATATATATATATATATATATATATATATATATATATATATGAGTTACATTATTTATAACAAGATATACAGGATGAGTCTGATAAAAAGTTTATTTTGAATAACTTGTAAATTATGCGTTATATAAAACATTGTTGCATTTAAAAGTTGCATGATTTCGAGGGGATTATTACATAGTATATGTATTTTTTTTTTATAAATCGAAGCGTTTCTGAGATTTAAAAGTCAACTTCGATTTTTTATATGAAACTATCCTAATTATTCTACGTAAGTAGATTTCTTGTACATTCTGTGTAAAAAGTTATAAAGATAGAATAGAAACAAAAATTGTATGGTTTACGAGATATTTTATATCTTAATTTGTGACATAAAGTCGTGATATTTACAAAATTAGAAGTCAGAATGAAAGTTTGAAACCGAGTGATCTCAAGAAATTACATTTATTGTTACAAAATGTTCACCATGTTGATCCAGACATGCCTGTCTTCGCGGAAAGCTTGCTTGGATCTCTTCTTGAATGGTTATTTCATGAAAAATATTTTTTATTCTTTCCATCATGTCGATTGTACAATCACAACTAAAATGTGAATATCAGAACACACTAGTTTGCAAATAATTATAAGACATAAGGCAAGAGCTCAATGTTTTCAAACAAATGAATCGGTAGAGGTGACTCTGCATTATTTCTTATGAGATCACTCAGTTCTAAACTTTCATTCTGACTTCTAATTTTTTAAATATCACAACGGTTGACTTTATGTTACAGATTAAAATATGTCGTAAACTATACACAATTTTTGGCTATCCTACCCTTATAACTTTTTACACAGAATGTTACAAGAAATTACGTAAAATAATTAGGGTAATTCCATATAAAAAATCGCAATTCACCTTTAAATCTCCGAAATGCTTCCATTTATAAAAAAAATACATATGCTATGTAATGATCCCCTCGAAATCATGCAGCTTTTGTATGCAACAATTTTTTACACAACGCATAGTTTACAAATTATTCAAGATGAACTTTTTATCAGATTCACTCTGTATAGATTAATTTGATTAGAAATAATGTATACTTAGAAAATGCATAGTAAAGCACTGTATTTCACCATGTAAAAGAATATTAATATTAATACAGTAATTCGATAAATGTCATGCACATTAATGCACATGTGTGGAATATTTGATTTTAATATTAATATGAACGAAGAAAATGTAAAAATAAATAAATGTACTTTTCGACATACATTTTTAAAATTATTTCAATTTAAACATTGTTTTATATCAAATATTTACAAAATACATTTGTTAACTTTTCCAAATTTTGACAAGTTAAGGAAAATATCGGAATGCTTGCAAAAAATATATAATACATATATGTCTACTTGCAGGTGAACTTGTAAGACATGTTCGGTACAGACACACTCATGAAAAACCGCACAAATGCCATGAATGTGATTATGCGTCTGTCGAACTATCAAAACTGAAGAGACATATTAGATGTCATACAGGCGAACGACCCTATCAGGTACATTTTATTATATATATATTTTTTTTTACGTTTAGGTGAATTGGTGCGTCATACACGCTATAAGCATACACACGAAAAGCCATATAAGTGTACTATTTGTCATTATTCAAGTGTGGAGAAGAATAAGTTGCGTAATCACATACGTACTCACACTGGAGAACGTCCATATCAGGTTTATTTTATATAGTACAGTTTTATACGGACTTCCGTGTAATGATTGTATATATATTTATTATTATTTAATACTTATAATAAACTGATACTCTTATGTGAACATTTTTGTGTAATATTTTGAAGTATATCAAATTTTCAGAAATTATAATTTTAAGTAATGTATTAAATTTGTCATGTAGTAACCAAAATATAATTATTTTTTAGTGTCCACACTGTACATATGCAAGCCCGGATACATTTAAATTGAAACGTCATCTTCGCATTCACACTGGCGAGAAACCATATGAGTGTGATTTTTGTCAAGCGAGGTTTACACAATCCAATAGCTTGAAAGCACATAAATTAATACATAATGGTTGGTTATAGATGAGCATATAATACGCATACTGGTTGCTTTATATTTTATAGCAATCAATGTGTGAGAATTTTTTACAGAAATATCCTTTTTCTAATGATCTTGATGTATGTTACAGTAGGCGATAAACCAGTATTTCAATGTGAATTGTGTCCAGCCACATGTGGTAGGAAAACTGATCTCAGAATCCACGTGCAAAAGTTACATACTTCTGATAAGCCCCTAAAATGTAAACGTTGTGGAAAAACATTCCCGGATAGGTGCGTGCATAAATTGTATGAATATAATATAATATTATATTGCAATGATATAAATAATTAAATACGAATTAAACATAAAGATTATGATGTTCGATCTTAACAAACTGTATCTTTAACACATGTATTATATTGCAGATATAGCTATAAGTTGCATAGCAAAACCCACGAAGGGGAGAAGTGTTACAAGTGTGATTTATGTCCATATGCGTCCATATCGGCCCGTCATTTGGAAAGTCACATGCTCATCCATACTGATCAGAAGCCGTACCAATGCGATCACTGCTTTCAGTCATTTAGGCAGAAACAACTACTCAAACGTCATTGCAATCTTTATCATAATCCTACCTACGTCCCGCCACCACCACAAGAAAAAACGCATCAATGTCCAGAATGTGAAAGAGCATTTAGGTGTGTGCATAAAACCAATCATTTGCAGCAACTAATAACATAATAAAATTGAATAATATCAGTTATAATTTTTCCCAATAAAATATTTCTTATTGTACAGACATAAAGGAAATCTCATCCGACATATGGCTGTTCACGATCCAGAATCGTCTCTACAAGAAAAACAACAAGCTCTTAAAATTGGCAGACAGAAAAAGATTCAAATCATCGACGGTCAACGTGTTGAAGTGATGACAGGTACAATATCATACGTGTAGTCGAAACTGTAAGAAGTTTTAAAGAAATCACGAGAAATATTTGAACTCGTTTGCACTTGCGTCATCAGTACAAAGTGATTTCTTTATATTACTTTATTCTGTTGATGATATGTTGGATAGTTCATACGTAATTAGATTAGATAATATAATGCATAAGCGTTCACACCCACAAGGACACTTACGATATGATCTAAATACAGATCATTGACTAATATCCATGTGTTATGTTGTGACAACAGGTGATTTAGCTAATAAACTTAAAGGTTACGACGATGAAGAAGAAGAAGAAGACGAAGACGATATGATGGCAGTACAAGGCAGTGATGGCCAGCAATACGTCGTACTAGAAGTGATACAATTAGCTGACAATCAAGGAACTGATCAGGTAAGCATTGCTTACTAAGCAATACTTGGAAAAATGTGTTAATGTGTTTTTTTTTTTAAATCAATTATAATTAAATGATGTACAATAGATGGCTGTGGTTGCAAACGAAGATGGAGAGTTGGTAATGCAAGACCCACTGAGTCAAGAAAGTGGTATGGTGACTGGAACAGGAGAGGAAGTTGATGATGTCGAAGAGGAAGATATGGAGATGCAAGACTTAAAGATAGAATCCGTTACTGTTACTCCTACTAAATCCTCGGCACAAAACACACAAAATGATCCAAAATTACAGAAGGAAATGGAGACTTGTTTTGGATTTGATGAAGTGAGTGTTTCATTATGTCTCCAATGAGATATTTTTTGAAAAATCTATTTATATTATATAAAAAGAATAAAATCGAATTTTTTTGTAAATAAATAGATGGTAAATAAATTTTCTTTTTTCTTTTTTTTTTTAGGAGGAAGAGGAAGAAGAAAGCGGTAGTAATATAAATATGTTGTAACAACAATTCGTAATAATATACATAATTAATATACATAATTAATAATATACATAAGAAAAGAAACGTACCTACTTAATAGTCTAATGTTTTACTTTTGTGTCCCAGTGTTAGTGTATATTACAAATACTAAACAAAAAAAAATGATTAAAAAATCGAAAAAAACTGTTTACCGTGTACAGAAAAACGGAGTGCAGTGTATTACTATCTAAAAATACTTTACACATAGTTTTTGGAGAGTGGAGAAGAGAGAAAGAGAGAACTATTTTTTGGGACTGTAATTTGGTCCACATATGGTACAATTGTACCATTAGTGCATTAGATACATGTAATAATTTATGACAAAAATATTGTTCCCTATTCAGACAAAAATATTGTAGATCTAGTTAAATATCAAGTAAGTGTATTGTAAAATATTTACATTATCATTTGCATTATTATTCATGTTGTCAACAAAATTATATTTTCTCTTTATTAATATACGTACATACATATGCATGAATATATATATTCATGCATATGTATGTATGTAAGATTCCATGCATGAAACTCATTTTTAGCACCAGCTTTCACATTGTAGCTAATGTTCTATTAGGTTTCTTCTTCGCCTTTTCTTTAGTAATAATCCAAGAATATAACTTGTTATTTTCTTACATCTATTTCTTTCCTTTTTTTCTCAGTCCATGATGCCGCGTCTTTTATATTATCTTTGAATTTACTTAAATTTTACAGTATAATTAATACGAGAAATATTTTATAAATCAGAAACACATACAAATACTAAA